GCATCATAGCTTTGTGCAGCCCCAAGAGTTTGTAACGCCACGAAATAATGGTCCTAGACCCACCTTAAGTATACCGATCGTCATCGACTAGCTGAGTCGATCTAGACATGTGTGTCCGTCCGTCCGTCCGTCCGTCTGTCCATTATAATTTGTAAACACGATACAGGCCACAGTTATGGACCAATGGCCCAAACACCGTGAATTTTTGCATGGAGAAGGGGATTTAGACAGAGAATAAGCATGCATGTTTTGATAAAGATCGGTCAATATTTAGCGGGTCAAATGGACCCTGACTTTTGTGTGAAAAATGACAAAATATGTATTCTATGGCATATATATTTACTCCTGGAGGATGTAGTCCCCAGGATTTGATAGCATATCCAAGAGGAGTGGTTGGCCTTTAAATTGATACCAAATATAGTGATGTATCTACTCAGATGTGGGAGTTACAGTCAAATATTTACAGGTGCTTACGTATTCAGATATTATTTAGTAACCCATTACCACATTAGAGGGAGAAATATCGCGCTGATGGCTTTGAAATTTTTCATGAAGTTCCAGTTATGGTCAAGAACAACGCCTACAATTTTCGGTGATGATCAGATTAAATTTTTGGGATGAAATGGACGGAAAACATAATTTTTTGTGTGTTTTCGAGTAGAGTATAATCCGAAAATCACAACACAACCCACCGTGAAGGTAATCTGGACAAGTAATTAGAAGGACTGTACTGAATATTCGAAAAAAGTAAGGAAGAGGTGTTGTTAACCTCTAATCGGACAAGAGGGGGCAAATATCACGAAATATTACTCAGACTCGGAATAAACATCCTCAGAAAGTTAGAGTTCGTGGTAGTTGTGTAGGGTATCGCATGGTCGGCCCCGTCCGACTATACTGCTCCGCTCACTGGTTTAAATATATTTTTTGAGTTCTAACAAGGATCGTAGATTTTTTTAAGAATATTTTTTGAGGTCTAAATTGTTGTTAAAAATATTTTTTGAGGACGTAGTTGTAATAGTTTGGAGGAAATGTTGCAAGGAGCATAGATTATTTTTATTTTAAAATATTGGACCTAAAATCATGACCAACATCGCCAAAAATTCACATATTTTTTGACCATTTTCTATTAATATTTTTTTTGGCATGCCAAACAATCCTCCCAACATTGGCAACTCTTTTACACATATTTTCAAATGCTCTACTATAGATCCTCTCCACTCTCTGTGTATCTTTCACGCTCTCTCTCTGGGTCTCTCTATCTCGCTCATATGAAATTTTCTCATGGAAAGCTTTCTTCGCTACGTTTTTTGTAGAGCGACCTGCCTCTTCTACGGTGTTGTTGCAGCTGCCCGACAGACAGTCATTTTCAGTTGCGAACAAATGCCGGTCAAATTGTTTTAATCGTTCGGTTAGTTCGTTCATTCGTTCTCGTTAGGCGATCGAGTGAAAAACAAGATTTGACAAAACGTTTAAAGACCAACAATCCATCCATCCATCGGACCGACCGCATACTTGACGTGAAAAGCGATAATTATTGTTGTGTACCATTTTTTTTCGATGTTTCGCTTCGATTAAAATAAAAACAAAAAAACTAATAAAAAAATAAACGGCTAAAAGAAAATTTGCCTCAAAGAAAAGAAAAAGAAAGAAAATCCAAATAAAAAATTAAAGAGTGTGAAGATGATGTGCGGCGCTGTAATATAAGAAAAAATATAATTCTTGGTGTAACTGGCTGTGATATTCAATTCAAGCGAAGAAAAAGAAAAACAAGTAAATCTAATTTTCTTCTAGGTGAAATAGAAGAAAATATTTTTTTTTTGTGAAATTTTTAATTGTTTAATGAAACAGTAATAAAATCACAACAAAATGTGTAAAAAGAAATAAAAAAAGAAATACCAAAAAATTTCAAAATTGTTGTTTTACACAATTTATTGAAAAAAGTCAATTTGAAACAACAACAACATCATCCGAATAAATTATGTAAATTGTAAGAAAAGCTTTTTTGTGTGCCATTGCTGATATATTCCTTCCTGCAATTGTATATCGTTGTCGCCGCCGTTGTCGTCGGTATCGGCTTTTCTTCTTCGTCGTCGTCATGTTCTCCGCCGCTGCTGCACTTTGAAACTTTGATACGAATACGAAAATTTATTTTGTTTTCCTTTCACATCATTGTCTTGCTTGATCAGAAAAGATAATTACAAAAAATAAATATTTACATAAAAAACAACAACAAGAAAATTTTATATTTAAAAAAATCGTGTGTGGCTGTGTACCAAAAAAATAACCCTCGAAAATCTCAAAAAAGTATTGCAACAAATATCTGTGTTAAGAAAAAAATCTTCTTAATTTTTTTGGTCTCATAAATAAAAAAAAAGTTCTGCAGCAAAATGAAGGAACGCAACGAACTCGACAAAATGATGGGCAAAATGCTGGCCATCAAAGAAATGGAACATCATCTGAGCAGTCGTCGCAGCAGCGTCTATGTTGATCCCGAATGTGATAAATTTTTTGAGCTGCCCCAATTTATGGGGGTCAGCACAAATGACATAACGACAAAATGTCAATGTTTTCAATTTAGTCCAGGTAAACAAATAAATAAAACAAAAAAATTCCGAATTTTTTCTGCAAAAAAATAATAATAATAAATAAATAAATCGCCCTAGTAAAAGTATCCGACTTTTTCTATAGAAAAAAATAACCAACGAAAGTTCTCCGATTTTTATATAAACAATCGAGTCACAACGGTATCGTATTTGCAAAATAATGCGTCCGAAGAGTGCCCACAACTCTGCTGTTAGAAAGAATTACGTTCCGAAGTGTCTCAGATTTTGTTTCTATAAAAAATTGAAGCAAAAAAAAAAAAATGGTTTTCCGATTTATTGTCTGTATAAAAAACTAACCCACAAAATTCTCCGAATTTTTTCTATTACAGAAAATGAACAACAATGATATCCGAAGTTTTTCTATTGTTTTCTAGGCACCGAGAGTTTTTAATTTTTTTTCCTATGAATAAATCAACTCCAAGGGTCCCCGATTTTTTTTTTCTGTAGAAAAAATGGCACGAATTTATAGAAAAAATTCCCGCAGTGTTTCTGAATATTTCGAAAAAAATTATGACTCCCCGGAGGTTCTTTGCATTTTTTTTCATAAAAAATTACCTTCACAGAGTTCTCTGAATTGTTTCTGTAGATAAAATTACTCTCTAAAGGGTCTCTGCATTTTTTTTTTATAGAAAAAATTACCCTCAAAGGGGTTTCGACTTTTTTTCTACAGAAAATTTAAAATTAAAATTTAGGAAAAATTTAGACCTACAAGGGTCTCCGAATTCTTTTCTATAGAAAAAAATTTTCCGGCTGGTTCTCCGAATTCTTTTCTATAACAAAATTTCCGATTTTTTCTACAGAAAAAATAATATTTTTCCTACAGAAAATTGAAAATTAAAATTAGAAAAAATTACCCTCTTGGGTCTCCGAATTTTTTTCTATAGAAAAAATTACCTCACAAGAGTCTCCGAATTTTTTTCTATATTAAAAAGTACCCTCACAAGGGTCTCAGAATTTTTTCTATAGAAAAAAATTACCCTCGCAAGGGTTTCGAATTTTTTATATAGGAAAAAATTACCCACACAAGGGTTTCCGTAGTTTTTCTATAGAAAAAAAAAAAAACCCACCTGTGGGACTACGAATTTTATTCTATAGAAAAAATGCCCCCCTTTGGGTCTACGAATTTTTTTCTATAGAAAAAAATGGACATGAGTGTCCGTTAATCCGTCTGTCCATTATAATTTGTAAACATGATACCGGCTATAGTTATGGACCAATCTTCACGAAATTTTGCATGTAGGGTGGATTCTGCCCAATGAAGACTTCTATTGTTTAATAAAGATCGGTTAATATTTAGGGGATGGAATGGACCAAATACGTAATTTATGTCCGGGCACCTCCCCTCCTCCCCTGCCCATGTCACTGTCTATGGCGTATATATTTATTCCTGAAGGACATATACCCGATATATTGAGAGTATATTAGTGAACCATTACCACACCAGGGGGCGAAAATATAGCGCTGATCGCTTTGAAATTTTCCATGAGGATCCAGGTATGCTCAAGGACAACGCCTATAATTTTCGGTGAAGATCAGATAATAATATTGGGATAAAGTGGATCTAAAAATAATTTTTTGTGTTTTTTTTTCGGGTCTATCTATAGTCCACAATTGAAAGCCGAACATCACAACCAACCCACAGTGAAGGGAATTTGGACAAGTGATTAGAAGGGCTGTACAGAATATTAGTAATATTTTTTGACCTCTAGTATAGAATATAGAACCAGCAAAGAATGGGGTTTGTAAATAATCTCACACACGAGGTTTTGAAAAATATATATATTTTTTTTAAAGTTCGCAAAGCATAGTTTTTTATAAAACATATTTTTTATTAATAACACAAGAGTGGAATCTACAGAAATATTTGTTGGTTTCAGTACAATAAACATTAATATGAAAAAAAAATGCACACACACATTGTGGACAGCACAAATCAAAATCACCCCGTATTTATCTATAAGAGTTTTATTTCTTCATATATATGCGGCCATATCTATTTGTTCGTTCAGAAAATATATCAATATTTGATAAACAAATAAAACACTTGTCGATGTTTATTTATTTTACCTACCTTCGATTCGATAATATTTAATTTGGTTTCGACTACAAACAAAGCCCATGATTACCTATCATACACACGAATACATAAAAATGTTTTTTCTACTACTAGCTAAACATCAATTTGCTTGGCAAATTATTATCATAAAATCAGCGAATGAAAAAAAATTGGACTGACTGACTGTCGGCGAGGTAGATAAATTAGTTGAATATTTCTTACACAAATTCTTGTACACACACTCAATTTATAACCCCCACCCCCACAGTTGGACTACATTTTACTACTCCTCACACATTCCCTTTGATAAGGTTTCATTGACATATTTTTCTTTTGTTGTTGTTATTGTTGATTTTTCTTTGCCTTTTTCTATTTTTTTCGACTCCATGTTTGATTACTTATCCACGATTATGTCTAATTTGATAATTGACGTCTGATCGATTTGCATTGTTGTTGTTTGTGGGGGAATGGGGTATTTTTTCTATTGAAAGTCATCCAAAACTCGTGCGGTTTGTCACAAGGAAATCGAGTACAAATTTATGTCATCAAGTAGAAAAACAAACAAGATTATAAATAAACGATTCGTAGAGAGGTATTATTTCTATTCCAGGAATAAATAATTACGAAAAATCGAAAAAATCTAAATATTTATAGAAGTTTGAAGAAATATTTTTTTTAATCCACTCCTTGTGTAAATCTTGAAAAACAAATCCACGACATGTGTGACTTCTTGGAAAAAAGTAATCTTTTAAAATCCGACTCCTCATGTGACTCCTCCGACTCCTTGTATGAAATCTGAAAAAAAAATTAACATACCACCCCTTGTGCTGGTCCTTGAAAAAATATTCTTTAAAAAAATCCACGCCTTGTTCCTTGTAGAATGAATCAGTTTTCTCTTACCATTTCCCCTAACACTCCACTTCGATCATTGATCTTTGTTCGGAAAAAATCAGTTTATCATTCCATCGCTTGTGTTGATCCTTGCAAAAATAATCCTTAAAATATCCACGCCCTTTTTAAATCTCCACTTCCTTCTTCCTTGTAGGCTGAATCAGTTTTCTCTTAACATTTTCCCTAACACTCCACTTCGTAAATCACTGATCTTTGTTCGAAAAAATTACCTTCTTATCTCAAATACCAAAAAAATCTAAGAAAAACAAACGTCTAAACTTAATTGTTTATAACAAGTTCACACCTCTTATATTTTAGTGTATTATTCTATGTTTATTGGCCATAATAAATTCCTTAATACTTTAATGATGACAATTATTTTTCAATTAACAAACGACGATTTTTTTTGTAGGCGACAATGGAAGTCTTATCAAATTTGAAAAATCACAAGAAATATTATAAATAAAATTATATCAATTGAGGGGGTTAGAGAACGCCGCCAGAGGATATATAACTTGATTTAGGTGGGAAAATAAAAATTTCGTCCAATCTGTGGTATGATTGTTTTTAATTAATTTTGCCTGGTGGCGTATAAGTAATAATTTAATATAGTACTTATACGTAGCATAATTTAATTTTTAAATTTATATCTAACATTAAGTGGAATTTTTAAAACAAATATTTTTTAAGAAAGATTTGAATTCCTTCTGTGAATTTTTTGAGAAAAAAAATGTATAATTTTTTCGATATGCAATAGACGAGTGGATTTTTATACCCTACACAACTATGTTGTCAGGGTATTATAGCTTTGTGCAGCCCCAAGAGTTTGTAACGCCGCGAAATATTGCTCCTGGACACACCTTTAAGTATACCGATCGTCATATTTCGACTAGCTGAGTCGATCAAGACATGTGTGTCCGTCCGTCCATTATAATTTGTAAACACGATACAGGCCACAGTTATGGATCAATCTTCACGAAATTTTGCAAGTAGAATAGGTTCGGCCCATTGAAGACCCCTATTGTTTTTGGTAAAGATCGGTTATTTTTTTAGGGGATGAAATGGACCAAATACTTAATTTTTGTCGATTTTTCTGGTCGCTCCAGAGGCCGCAATTATGGCCCAAACATCTCGTTTTTTTACATGGAGAAGGGGATTGGGCCAAAGAATGAGCATGCCTGTTTTGATAAAGATCGGTCTATATTTAGCGGGTCAAATGGACCCTGACTTATGTGTGAAAAATAACAAAATTTGTATTCTATAGCGTATTTATTTACTCCTGAAGGACATAGACCCGAGGAATGGTTGATCTTTAAATTAATACGAATTATATTGTCGTATGTACTCGAACGTGGGAGATACACTTAAATATTTACAGATGTTAAGGTATTCAAATATTATTTAGAAACCCATTTCAACACTAGAGGGCGGAAATATAGCGCTGATCGCTTTAAAATTTTCCATGAGATTCCAGTTATGGCCAAGGACAACGCCTATAATTTTCGGTGATGATCAGATAATAATTTTGGGATGAAGTGGACCAAAAACGTAATTTTTTGTGTTTTTTTTTTTTAAATTCAATCTATAGGTCACCATTATAAGCCGAACATCACAACGCAACTCACTATGAAGGGAATTTGGTCAAGTAATCAGAAGGGTTCGGGAAATATGTCAGTGTAGGGAAGAGGTTCTCTTGACTCTCATCATATATTGCCCAGGTTCGGAATAAACATCCACAGAAAGTTAGAGTTGTGTAGGGTATCGTATGGTCGGCCCCGTCCGACTATACTGCTCCGCTCACTGGTTAACAAATGCTTTTTATGAAGCACTACAAACTATGTTGTCAAGTAACAATATAATCGGTAATTTTAACAATTTATGTCAGTTTGTTCCGCTAGTCGTATGATTGGTTTTAATTAATTTAAACAGGTGGCGTATAAGTAATATTTCTAATACATCACTTATACGCATGAAGATGCAGTGCAAAATTTATTTTTTAGGGTTTATCCGAGGTTAAATTTTTAGTTTAAAAT